TCCCGCTGTTGTTGAGGTTGTCGATGTGGTTCTCAAAGTACCTAGATCGGCACAGTAGATATCGGCGATGTCGAGTTAAGTTTAACACACTGTCACTCACCATTATCATAGACTTGTCCGTTCCAAGTTATGACAATTGCATATGGTCCATACACTATCAGACCATTCTGAACTCCCAGTTGTAAACTATCTCTAATCACTAATACTTGTATATAATAAATGTACAAATAACTTGGTCCATGACTGAGAAATTGTCCGCCATTATAGAGGACGATTGATGAATTGACATTTATATATATTCCACTACGGTTTGTTGTTGCATCTTGTAGTATACCACCATTGTATACGTAGATATTGATTGCATAGACAAAAATGAAACCACTGTTTCCACCATTGCCGACGATTGTTAGACGACCAAATATAATAATGATGATAACATTGATAGATAATTGATTTGTGCCATTGAGGCTAACAATGATACCCGACGGAATGATGATTGTACTGCCACTACCAGGAATAAAGAGACCACCCCATGTGGATGCATCAAAGAAACTGCCGGAGTGAACAGCTGTTAGAGTACCATTTGCTAACCAAAGAAAATAGAAATATATGAAAGAGACAGCACGAGAACAGTCCTATTACATTCGGAAAACAATAGACGCTGATATTATTTGTATAACTTTTGAACACAAAGAGCTAGGTACGTCAGGTTGCCGAGGTTCGCGTAGCTGATACACCGCGCCGCCGATAAAAATGAAAACTGGCACCGTCGCCTCCAGAGACGACCCAAACGTTTTTCGAGTCATATCAACGCCAATTTTGAGAAAATTACCGTTTTTTTTCAAAATGTTGGTCAAAGGTCACACCGCTGAAGACGGTGAAAATTTTCTGGGTCACGCCGTCGGAACCGCTGGTGGACTAAAATTTTTTACGTCTCCACCCAAGTGAGCAAAAAACCCGGATTGATCGTTCGGACTAGTCCGAAGTGTCCGAGTAACCCGTCCAGACTAGTCCGCATTTAGAATTTTTTTTCAAAGTGTCAGGGCTACAAGTCTTGACGTACGACCGGATGCTGAACCAGAGGAGTAGATAGGACGGAGTGTCCAAAAGTCGAGAATGACGTGCTATCCATCGGCAGACCGATACAGGAATTCCCCATACGTCCGGACGTATAGTCTTGACACTAGTCTAGACGTGCTGCATGATGGTAAATTTGTTAAAAAGTAATTATTTGTACATCGATGTCTTCCTTCGATTCTAGACGTCCTTTCTCTGAAATAGTAAAAAGTGGATATCAACCTGGTTGAGAGATTTCAAAAACTTGTTCATCAAAAACGCTCGTAGACACATAGTCTACATACATTTGCAGTGTATATATTTCGATTCCACTTTCATGCATGGCAACGTGTTCAGAATAATTTTTTTTCGTTGTACCTTGATTTCGAAACTAGTAAAGACTGAAATTTCACAGTATTTCATCTATATTTCTTATTTTTAGCGTACACTGTAAGGTTGGAAATTATTTATGAAAAATGCTCGGAGATTTTGAAACAGTACATATAGGAATTCCCCGAGGATTTTCCCGTTTATAGAAAATCGAATGACCAACAATCTAGAAAATCCTAAATCCTGTCTAAATCAAAATTCTTGCTGACATAGGCAGAAATGTGATCTAAAGTAGAAACTGTCAAAGTTGGTTTAAGTGTAATATGAGTGTCGTATACGTTCTTATACCTACACTGATTGCAAAACAAAAAGATGAATAAGTATTTGGTCTAGAAATTCCTGGGCGAATTTCTACTCTCTAGAAAATCACGGCGGATTTTCTAGTTTATAGAAAATCAAACTCAAATTTCCAGATACTTGGAAATTATTCAGAGAAATTCGATTGATTTTCTATTAACTAGAAAATCCCCGGCGATTTTTCAGTCGATTTTCTATAAAGTGGAAGTTAATTCAAGATTACAGTGTATGTAAAATTGTTTTTTGTAGAGAATAAAACGGCGAACCTTTAAAAAGAAAAAAATAACTTTGTATCTGCAAAAGAAAAAAAGTTATTATCGAAATACTCAGAGGTTCATCTCCTCTGGAACATCCAGTGGTTAGTTTCAGAAATGCTGGGTTTACTCGTGCACATTCAGCTTTAGCAGCACTTTGTCGTTGTTCCCTTAATGTTGTCAAAATTTCAAGGATGAAAGTTGCATTTGAATTCTATTTTCGGCAAAATACGGAGTTTACAAAGGGGAAAGAAATTTATTAGTTCACATTTACAATTCAGAGATTTAAAACGAAAAGAGTGTTTAGGGATCATCTTTGCAGGATGTCCGGAGAAGGAGAAAGAGAAGCAAAATTTCTAATCAAGCTTTTTTCTAAAGACGAATGAGTTCTTGAAAGTTTAAGTCCAGGCCGAATCTATGAACACAACAAATTTCTAGCCCATATAGAGCTCTGGCACTATGATACATTACCTTACCCGTAGACGACTCTTTTCCATCTCTCTGAATATTTTCTGTTTCACGGTTAAAAAAAAATTTCTATTTTTCTCCCTTATGATTGGTTTATCTACGGAATATCCATGGCTGTTAGTCATGTTTCATATTTTGAGCACAGCACAGACGCACAGACAACCATTCTGTCAGATCCTAGATTGACGTTAAGGGAAAATGTATTTTAGAAGATTTAGAAGAAGGCAGATCTTTTTGCTCTTGTAAAAGAATTACTATTTATCGTGATTTCTATACGCTGAGGAAGCAAACACCGCGGTAATAGTTTCTTTCTTGTGCTATCATTTGAAATGCTTTGGGTAAAAGAGAATAAAACCAGGGAATCATGCACGTTAACCTCTTAGAGCTTGATAAAACTGTTTTTACGTACTGTAAACAACGGAAAACTTGCTGAACTAGTTGGCTTCTCACCCCTTTCGTCCTTTAGGAATCATTCTTTCAATTTACTGGGCGTTTTTTCTACATTTTGTAAGCTCGAGATTTTGGAGTCAATATATTTTAAATGATTTGTTGCCCTGAAAAGTAATTGTATTGCAGGAAAGCCTTTTCTGGACCTGTGGATTTCCTTCGCTACACAGAAGATGCAAGTAGAGAATTATTTATCATCTATTTTTTGTTTTGTTTGTTGAGAAGATTTTATTTGCTAGAAACAATACATATGAAGTCGAAATAGATTTGGCTGGAGTTTTTTTGCAGACGAGTTGAAGAAAAATCTTTTTTGCAACTTACTTATTAGCATAAGGACATGACTAATTCGAAAATATATTTTCTCAGGTCTTTTCCGTTACCGAGAATAGAAATCGTGAAAAAATCGGAAGTCCGACATGGTTAAAAGTGGAAAAAGTCCAAAATTTGGAAAATTTGCGCGCTCTCACCGCCCACAGAAGACGTTTTTATAAAATTACAACTGCCAGAGAATCTAAGTACAAAGGTACAGCTGCCTAAATAATCAATTTCGCCAAAAAATCTTGCCTTTGAAGCAGTAAATAAGAGCCAGTTTTTAGGAAATAATGCCTCTTATCTCGGTAACGGAAAAGACCTGAGAAAATATATTTTCGGATTAGTCATGTCCTTATGCTAATAAGTAAGTTGCAAAAAAGATTTTTCTTCAACTCGTGCTTCCTAAAAAGTCGCTCATAGTTTTGGTATGACTTACAATATTCTTGATTCTGCCAAACCGAATTACGGGAGGTGAATATGATCGATGGATCTAAAATCTCTCTTTAGAACTTTACTAAAATAAACAAGAAAAAACAAACAGACAATTTCTTAATTTAATAACAGAGTATCATCTATACAGTGAAGAAAAAAACATGTATGATTATACAGGGAAGAAAAAGTAGAAATCGGAACAGTGCTCGAAATCTTTTTGATCTCAAAAGGTCAATCATTCATAAAAAGCAAGTCCTTCAAAGAGAAAAATCCTCTGTCGCTTGTTTCTTGAGATTGCTATGTGCTGTACTCTTGTTTTATTACAGATTTCTATCAGTCAGCACCAGGGGCGTCTATCCCACCTGAATATTTGAGGCATTTTGTACCACCTCAAAGGTTCGATCATTCAATGTACCACCTAAAAAATTAATTTCTACAGCAAAAAAGCGTACCACCTTACGTTCGTATGAGTCATTGTGCCTCAAACGTCCCACAAGATAGACGCCCCTGGTCAGCACACATATAGCAACTGCATTCTGAAAAGAAAGGTATTCCACAATACTAAAAAGAGAGTATCGGCATTTGTTACCAATTTCCGTATCTTAGAACACCTTTTTTGGTTTTCTAGGTTATGTTTATGGGTATTCCTGATCCCACAGAACCAAAAACGGCTCATACGTGAAGGACATTCCTAAAAGTGTTTTGTGGTTTGTCCTTCCTGCCCCGCCGGTGACATTAGATAAAAGGCAGTGTCAAAGTATAGCTGAAAACAGTTCTATATTTGTCAAAAATCGGACTACAAATTTAAAGGGAATACGCTCGGAAATGAGGGTACTTCTTTTTTGAAGTTGCTTATATGTGTTTTGCGTCTCATATGATATAGCGCTCCTTCCGGATTTGAAAAATTTGTAACAAATGCGACTGGATCCGACAAAAGAAACATCTAGCAAAGAAAGCAGTCGGGCCGTCGCCATCTTTGGTGCGACCACAGGAAACGAAGAAAGAGAGTTTCTGAGGAGAATAAAAAGCGTTTCATCGTGCCGACAAAAGAAAAATTAAAATAAATTCAATTGAAATAAAAAATTTGAGTTAACGAGAATTTGCTTCTATGTGGAGGCGGAACTGCATGCTCCTTATCATCTATTTTTTGTTTTGTTTGTTGAGAAGATTTTATTTGCTAAAAACAATACATATGAAGTCGAAATAGATTTGGCTGGAGTTTTTTTGCAGACGAGTTGAAGAA